TGTCAAGAAAAAAAAAAAAAAAAAAAAAAGGGAAAAAACCCTCAATGCCAAACGTACAAACCAGAAAATTATTCCCCCCCCCCATGCGCTAACAGATCGCAGTATAGCATCGACGCGCGTTCCCTCCCCTCCGCAAGCTCAACGCGACTCCCCCCTTCCCCCCACTTTCCTCCTCTCGAGCCGCGGTTGCGCGAAGCTCGACTTTCCCCCCCCCCTCTACTCCCGATTCCTCTCAGCATCAGCAGCCGCAGCGCACACGAATCATATACAATATACGCGCGGTCAAAGAGGCCTCTTTCTCTGCCTGCTCGAGTCACTCAGTCGGTCGGCGAGCGCTACTCGTGCTGATCCGCGCATCGGCGGACAGAGTACACATATACGTATCAACACGCGAAGCGCCCCGTTACCATTGTTACTTTCTTAATCCTCCTTTGCTCGATATACACTTGTACCAATGTACCTCTCGCGCTCCCATAACTCCATGCAGAGAGTCACGGGCACAACCACCAGCTGCAACTAAAACACCCATCACGTACGGACAGAGGAAGGAAGACACTTGCTCCTCGCAAAAGGGGGAGGCGCGCTCGCGAGAGAGACAGACTCAGCCCTTTTTTCTTCCACTTGACGTAACATCTACACGTACACAAGTGCTACGAAGGGGAAGGACAACCACCACCACCCAACCAACCAACCACCTTAGCTGCAGGCGGGGGTATATATATATATATATACGATGTATAAATACCACGCGCAACCAAGCCGTGTAGTATCGGAGGAGTAGTAGGCGTTCGGCGTTTTTTCCGGAGCAACGCCACCTTTGGGGCAAATCTGAGCCACCGAGGGGGTAGTTTTGGCTGGTATAGTGTCCACAGGGTGCCAAGCTGTCGGCTTTGGTGGTTACAACGTTAGATAGTAGTAGTGGTGGTGGTGGTGTCGCCGCCGTAGCTGGGGCATCGTCCTTTTTGGGTACGAGCGGCTTCTGGGAGCTGCGCCAGCGCATTGCCGCGAGGATGCCGCTCTTCGGGCGCCGCGACGCGGCCAAGAAGCCAAAAAAGGACGACAAGTCATCCTCCATCGAGGACAAGTACACCCTCAAGGAGCAGCTGGGCACGTAAGTTTTTTTTTTTTTTTTTTTTTTTTTTTTTTTTTTTTTTTTTTTTTTTTT